ATAAACATGATTTGTGAATTGGTGTTAATTATACACTTGATTTATAATTTTTTCCCATTCATTATTCCTCACATTTTTTTTCTCGCCCCCCCCCCGCCCCTCCTCTCCCCAGTCATATAATTTGAACTGTCGAATCTCATTATTCCTGTCACGATCGCCTCCCTCTCTCTCTCACATAAATTGATTTATCAAATCTCATTATTCTACATAAACTGTCATATCATCGATAATAATAATAATAATAATAATAATAATAATAATAATAATAATAATAATAATAATAATAATAATAATAAATAGCACTATTCTTAAAAGAGGAAATTACACTCAGAGAGGTATTTAAGATACCAATTTCACAAAACAGGTCACGAATTTAATTTTTCCAAAATCAGGTTTTTCTTTTTAATTAAATATTAATTATATTACTTTCATCAACAATTAATATAACGCTAATCAAACCTAAAATTCACTTTTTCTCCTCCATTGGTTTTCTCTCCTCTCAGGCTGTTCTCCTCCCGCCGCCGCCGCCGCCACTGCTCTTCTCCTCCCGCTGCCAGCACAGTTCTCCCCCTCACATCTCTCACCATTTTCTACACTCTCTCACCGGCGGCGGTTCTTCTCTCCGGCGATCGAAGGGTTCGATTCTCTTTATTCTCTCCCTCACTGCGCCAATCGCCGTTGCTCACATAGGAGCAGATCTGTCCGTTTCTTTTTTTTCTTTTTCTTTTTTTGTTTTTGATCGGATGGTTGAGTTGGAGTCAGATTTGTTTTTTGGGATGGGTGCGGCTGGTCGGCGGGTGTGATTAGGTGCAGTTGGGACGTCGATCTATGTGCAGCGATCTGAGGGTTGATAGATACAACAGCGATCGAAAAATCGAAAAATTATTTGCAGCAGCGATCTGGGGTTGATAGATACAACATCGATCTGCTACGCAGCGATCTGGTGTATAAGGAGACCGAGATTGAATGTATGTTTCACTTGTGCGTTTTTGGGATTGAATTTTTAGATTTCTTGGTATTTCGTCAATTTTGCGTCTGACCTGCGATTTCATTTCAGTATTGTTTCCTCTTTTATTTTTTTAGTGTTCGAGTTGATTTATCCGATGGTTGTGTTGTATGTATGTTAATATGTGTTGCAGATCAGGGGTGGTTTCGGGCGGTGGTTGTGTGTTATGGGTGTGATGTGTATTCTGT